TTTTTAAGTAATCACTTTGGGGCTGAAAGTCTAAGTTTATTCCAGTATTTGTACAGTCAGGCAGTCCACAACTATTTGCAGGACCAGGGATTTCAACAACAAAAACACGCTGAACTCACAACATACACTTCTTTCACTACGGAAAGAATCACCATGGAGTCAAGCCTCAGGCTTCAATGTCTCCTGAAGAAGTCTTCAATCTAGTAAATTATTCTGACAAAACTGATCATGAACCACAACTCACTAAAACTTCAGCAACATTTTTTTTCTACTATAATAAAATTAGTCTGTACACTGTTGATAAAAGGAACAGTCTTCTCCTGCATTTTTAAAAATAAAAAATAAATACATAAAATTTGTTTTAAATGTAATTCCACCAGGGAATTTTTTCGTGTGCTTGAATTCTCTGGAAGTAATGAATGGTAAAAAAAGTTAACAATATGGTCTTAACAATTCACACATACTATCTAGTACCTCAACTTACTAAAGCAATTGATTTGTTTCAGCCTTTCTTATAAAAAGTAACTTCTGAGGAAATAATAGATGACTAGGACTACAGATAAAAGTTATGCTTCTCCCTTGAGTAAATATCTCTAGCAAACACACAATTAACTATCATTTTAAAGCGCAAAAAATACAAAGAGCAGCAAGACCCCAATCCTAAAACCACCTAATTATATGTTTAACATTAAATTCATGGAGTTGCGTTATGCACACAAATCCAAATAAAAAGCTGCAGGATTGAAAAAGAAAGTCCTCTTCTCACCTAGCTAGTTCTGACATAATTAAAATCTCTTGAAAATACACTTCTTTTAGAAATATCAAGCTCAGGATAACTCAGTTGTTGCCTACTCAATTCAACTGTTATTGCTCTTTTAAGGTTTGTCTAACTGACTTTCACTAGTTCACTTTAATTATTCTATACAAACAATTGAGGACAAAAAATACAGACCCCTAGCTTTAGTTAAAAAATTGATTACATCCATTTAGTTACCTGCGATAAAGCGCCAAGCAGACACATTCTTTAGGAGCCAACATATCCTGCAGAAATGGGACTAAGTGAGAAAAACAGAATTAAGCCCTACAACTCTGTGGGCTTCCCAGGCATTCATACTGTCAAAGCACTTAAGCTGCTTTTGCCATGCAATCTGATTGGGAACAAGGTTTTAACACCTGGTGTTCTTCCTTCCACAGGGGTCTGTTAAACACTGGGCTATATAGCTCGGTCCTAAGCAAACTCTCTTAGACTGCTGTACTGAAGTTGCTCCTCTGTTTAAATCCTTTTTTCACTGGACCTGAAGTCAGAATCATCCAGTTGCTCCAGCCTACTTACAGAAGACTTGTGTAGACCTGTGTAGATCGCTGAATCTTATACAAAGAAAAACATTACTGTAGAAATACTGTGAAAGATTATAACAATTTACAGCATAGTGATAAAGGCACTTCAGTAGAACAGTTTTGGATCAAGTATCTGCTGTAAAACAGAGAGAGAAGGAATTTGAATCTGGATCTACCCCATCCTATTTAGTTTACCCAGCGTGGTGCTGTGAATACAGCCTGGCACCCCTAAAGCTCAGCTATGTTCCTTATCTACCTAGTGGCTTTCTTAAGAGCAACAGCAAAAATACCTACTTCTATATCTAGGAGAGACTGCTGAGGGGAACGATGACTTTTAGTGTTTCTCTGGGTCTTCAGGGGCATACTGCCATGTGGGGTCAGGAGCAGACTGCTCACACCTGGCAGAAAATCCCACCACCTTAACACAGTACTGCTTTCCGCCCATGCTTTTCTGTTGCAAACTAACCTTTAAATGCCACCATAGCTGAAAGTAGCTACGTGTAACTGGTTAATGCCTGCACTTCTATGATACCTAAAAGCATACCAAATGGGCTACGAGCACACATTAATCAATAACTGGGTAAATAAATACATTAAATGGAAATTTTCTAAATCAGATGCAATAAAAAAACTACATACATTTTTTTCTTTTTTGAGTATTTGTATTATATTTTGATCTACGAAGTGAGGAAATTACTTATGCTTTAATAGAGCACTGAATGATACTTGTCAGTCAAATATGACAAGTTCAAAATAACCTATTTCACAAGTAACAGCTATGCAACACCTCCAATGCATATTGCTTTAATGGAGAACAGTATCTTTTCAAAGCTCCATGGCATTATTGCTATTTTGGTCAGTTTAAACCCAACCATAACCGCTTGATATTATTTTTCGATAAGACCATTCATGTGTTGACCTTCTCCTGAAATACAGCACAGGAATCATTCACGCCTTTCCAGCTCATATAAGCAGGTGGTTATTTTAAGGGACTGCCTGATGCATGTGCTTCACATAGTTCTATATAATTTACTGGAATTTGATGTTTGAGTCTGTTGATTCTCATGCCTTCCTAGAAAAGAAATTCTTTCTTTTGGCAATTACAGCACTGAAAATTTCTATACACCTGGGCAATTTCTCCACTTACCACAAACACATTTATTAGTTTCCTGTTAAAAGTATTATAGTTAGAGAAAAGGTAGTCATTCAGTGTTAAACCCTATATTAAACTATTCATGACTTTCTAAACAACAACAAAGATTTCATTTGGGAAGAAATCTATCTTTGATGGGTTTAGTTCAGCTCTTAAAATTCCATCTAAAATATATATACACAGTTGTATTTGAGATTAACGGGAAATTTTTTTAATCTTCTTCCATCAGAAAGTATTTTTCCATGGTCATGTTTTGTCTGGATGCCTCAGAAAATAACACTGCTCTGAAACTTCCGGTTTTGCCACACACATATAGAAGACATTTAGGAGGAAATGGTTACATTTTATGACATTTGTTTTGAAGTAAGAAAATCAGTTAGGGTCTGATTCTCATTTTCTCTGCTCTGGAAGTGTGAGACAGTCCTCCAGCTGGTGCTAACCACACGTGGCTTGAAGTTCTGAGCTCTCTCAGCTCTCGAGCACCTTCAACTCCATCAAAACCAGCAGGAATGATGGAAGCCTGCTCCTCCACAGGGCAACACGAGCACCTCGTCAGGCAGGTCTGGGTGAAGGGAACCTCTCTGCAAGACACTACTCCAACGCTGACAAGAGCATGTGCTAAACACAGTTTTACTATCGTTTCAAGCGTTCAGACTCACAGTTGTTATTTTAACTCTTCATTTTATAAACCTCTAGCATACTAGGAAATTGGTTTATGCTGGTAGAATCCCTACTGGGAGAACTGACTCCATTTTCCTGCAAAAATAACTGCACAAGAGTAGCACAATTTCATGCCAACCATGAAAGCAAGTGCAATTTTTCTGACAAAGACAATGTTCCATGAGGAATTTAATCACAATCACAATATTTCATGAAAAGATATTGGCTTTAACTAAATTCTGCAAATCTTTTTGCAAGAACTTTTCATATGTGGAGAAGGTAAACCAGAAGAAAAAGTTCTTTCCATCTCACTTTCCATGTTGTCAGAGCTCCATGTTGAAAAAAAAAATGTTTTGTTATAGTGAATAACACAATAAATGGAGCGCATTAGTAAATATGATCACGTTCTGTCTCACATACTCTTTCCTCAGACTACCTTCCATCCATTAACATGCCTATATGATGGAACTGCTAATGTCTAAGGTGATACACAGTGCAAGCAGCAGTCTACTGTTAGGATCTTTGCTCAGCTGTTGGGAATAAGGGGAGTGATTCTGCCTCACTGTCAAAATCATACCAGGATTGCAGGTCTTTTATCCCTGGTCCTCACTATGGCTAGCTAACGTTGTAAAGCAGGACCTATATATTTATTTTACTTCACAGTGCTTCCCTTCCTCCCACTTTTGAAAGATAAAAGAGTGGAGTCTGGAAGCAACACGGATCAAGCTCAGCAGCTGAGTCTCAGAAAGGAAAAGAAACGGTGTTTTTTCTAATGCTGCACTAATGCTTTATTCCCCAGTGGGAAGCCAGCAAACCCCAGCTCAGAAGCAGCTGTCTTCTACAAAACACTTCATGGAGGAGAATCAGATCGTCAAGGGGCTTACAGTTAGAGATTATCTAGTAGGAGGTGGCATAATATAGTAAGTTGGGACTTGCTGTTTGGAAGGCAACAGCCCTATTGAACTTTCTTTCCCCCATCTCAGGGCAATACTGTGGAGATACTAAAAGGAGTCTGATTGAGAATCAATTTACCAGAGGCAGGGAGCTCCATGCATATTTCCCTGGGACATAACAAAGCAGTCAAGGTGGGGATGGAAAGGGCAGGGAGGCAGACTGTAAAGCTGTGTCAGTCAGTTGAGCAGCACTTGCTGAGTTGCATGCAGATGTTTCCTGCCTGGAGCCTGAGCACCAGAACAATCATACCCAAGTATGCCTTTGTCCAAAGCCTTGCTCACCTGTTTGAAATGGGTGCTAGCTAAACCTCCTCACTTGAGGTTAAGGTCACTTCTCTTGGATTTGCAGAAACATGACAGGTGAGCCTGGGTTTCCATACTTAGTACACCTTCAGTAGCAATTGCCAACACCTTCCCACAAGCCCTGCTAAGGAGTCGTCTTGTGGGGACGGGCTGAGTTCAAAGCTGGTCCTTGACTTTTTACCCACTACTGATTTTGGGCTGATCCCAAAACACTGTGGACATTATGTTCATACATCATTACAGCAACCACAAAAGAGGCAACTTATCTGGGAGAAACAGAAACAAGCCTTGGATCTATGACAAAAGCAGAAGTTTGTAACACCAATGATTTCCACAGTGCTGGTGAAATCTATCATTAGGCAGACCTGCAAGACTGTAGCACAAAGAGCATTGCAGCCATCTTAGCGTGATGTCTCTGACCTCAGCTTGGATAGGAAGGCTAATCATGAGATGTCTCCTTTGTGACTGGTTTAGTTTTCAGAGGTTTAATAGCTGTCACTCGCCTGAAGCAGAATGGCCTCATTCATGGCTATGGGGAGGTAACAGGGAAAAAGGTGGTGGTGACATATCTGTGCAGCACTCCAAGAGCAAAAGAGACAGCTTCATTTCACACAGCCAGGCAAACTGAGCCAGTAAAAGGGTCATTTGATGGTTGGTATATGAAATGAAGAGTATAAAAATGGTTACATAAATGCTATGGTTCACTGGGTAAGGAGAAGAGAGACTGGCAGAAGCACCTGCAAAATGAAAACCTTCCAAAACTATAACTACATACTTTCCACAAACGGGTGTGAAGAGCTACGTTGAATATGAAACATCTTGGAGACGATGCACTTTGTCAGACAAGTTGCCAAGGCCTGGCACTGTCCTCTCTACAGGATTTGTTGCAAAGGACAACAAATTACATCTCAAAAAGATGCTGCATAGTTGTAATTTCCAGTGTGTCTCTTCACCTTGGTATTGTGAAGAGTGGACAGAATGAGCTCTGTTGCCAGCAGTTGGGATGATCTGCAATTATCTGAACTTGTTGCTCCACTTATTGAACAATCAGCGATCTACCTGCCTCACTATCTCTAGCATGTAACCAGACACAGCCAGGATGAGTAGAGAGCAGCAACCCAAGCATCCTACATTCAGTGGCTCTCACAAGACTGGACAGCAGCTTCTTATCCCTTGCTCATGAAAATTCCAACTGGCATCCTAGAATACCTTGATGAGGTCACAGACACGGTAGCAAAGAAGATACAAAAATCAGTAATTCTCTCTCTTGTCCTTCTGGATGTACATGAAGGAAGAGACTCTTTCATCAGCAAATAACCATCCCTGGTGAACTCTAGTGCAAGGCAGAGGGTGTAGTCCCCTGGGAAATTGTTATTTAAACTACCATAAAAAAGGAATGGCAATATATGTAGCTATTTCAAAACTGCCGTGGTTTCATTTCTCTCAGATAACACACAGATAAGGTTAATTTTATTGAAAAATTTAAGTGATATGCCAAAATATCATAATGGTAGTCATTGACTTGGACCCTCTTCATTATTGGCAGCTGAAATGAGGTATGTGATCAGTATTACACGACAGACAACAGACAGCTCTTCATCATCTCCTATCCACTCTTCAGGTTACCCTGGAAGCTTCTTTAGCACAGCAGTTCAGTCAACAAGAAGGAAATGCCCGCTCCATCCTAAAGAGGGCATGGAAACCATCCTCATGAACAGCATTTCCTCCAAATTTGATTTGAGCATCTGCATTCAATTACACTCACTTGAAAAACAACGTGACCACTCCCAATCTTCCAAATATCCTCTGGAGTAGTTTGTTTCACCTCTAGTTTGCAGAGTGGTTCCCAGACTACTTGCTGGGACAACACTGAAACTGTCCTCTGCACAACAGAAAGTCTTCAGGATTCTTCCCGTCCACAAGAATCAGTCCTGGAAACCATCCTTTCCAGTCTCAGAATCCCTTCCACATCCCCATGAAACAAACATAGCAGCTGCAGAAAATCTCAGTATCACAGTCATCTGTACCAGCCCCAATACATAACAGCACATGCAATGAATCATACATTGAGTACATCCAGGGATGTTCTTACTGACTTTTTTATATTGAGGAATTCTCCAGCTGAGCAAGACAACAATAAGTAGAAGCAAGAGGACATCCTTGCTGTAGTCATAAGTTTACAGTCTCATTTTCAGTGAGGCACAGCAAGTGAGTGAGTGAGTGAGTGAGAAAGTAATGAGGAAGGACAAGGATAATGACAATAGATCACAGTGGCATTGATTCGCTACACAGGGAACTGATGACTCAGAAAGGTTCCTTTTTAATTTTTATATAGCAGCCACCCCAAAACCATTGCTTACACTAGCCATCATTAGTTTGTTGATTTCTTGAAGACATTTCGATAGGAGCAGTAGATCTTAAAAGAGTGGGTAGTGGTTTTATGGACTTGTTCCTCCACAGCACTCTGGAAGTAAAAGGCAATGAGGAAGCAACTGTGCAGATAATAGTGATATAGTGAACTTTCAAGGCAGGAGTGAAGGGAAGGAGGCATGCATGTACAATCTAATGAGATGAGATGAGATGAGATGAGATGAGATGAGATGAGATGAGATGAGATGAGGTGATCAGCTTTCTCTGAAGTCAGTGGGAATCTTTCTATTAACTTCAATGAGAGTTCATTCAAGCCCTAAAGGACAAAAGTAGAGCAGGTCATTAAGGTAGACTGTGAAAGTGCAAACAGGTTTTGAAGTATTCTGGAAGTGTTAATATTAAAAAGTATGGCCAGTGTGATATATTTCTGCAAAGTGAGGCAGCATCTGTATACTCTGACTAGAGTATGTTTCCCAGGTACGAAAAGTGCCCTGGTCCCAGGCACATTTCTAGATCATTGTATCATGGGAACAGTGTAAAACACATTATGTTCTGATAGGCTGCAAACGATCAGGGCAAAGAAACACATACCTTATACCACTAGAAAGTTGGGATACTCAGATTTCCACTGATCGTGCACCATTCATTTCTAGTTCTGCTGACTGCTAAGCTCTATGTGACTATTATCTTTTAGTGACTTATAAAAAAGAAAAAAAGGGAAAAAAAACAGGCTTGCACAGGTTTGACTCTTTCCTCTCTCCAGTTAAATTTCTATCAGAGAGAAATCTCTATACCCTTCTAATTTTAGAAGAAGGGGTCAGTTCTCCCTCTACAGCCCATGTGTCGAGGGGATGCATGGATCCTTCTTTTCCCTTCCATATAATCATTCTATTCAAGTCTCCACATTTCTTCTCTCACTCTCTTCAATTCCAGTCCAAAACTGTCAGCTGATGTAGCATGAACCGCTTAGGAAATAGAGAAATATGTCATGAAATTTCTATGGTGGGATTCCTTTTTTAGGTGATAAAAATCCACTGGTATTTAGCCCTAGCTGTCCTCAGGACAATAACTATTATGATCAAGTAGGAACTGAGGAGGGAGAAAATAAATAGTAAGCAGAATAATGCACTTTTGAGGTCCAGCATCTGGTTATCTAATAGAGAGAAGAAATACTTTGATAGATCAATAAGGAAACTTTTTAATGACAGTAAACATTTCTTAGCCCTCATTCAGACTATGGATCGGAGTTAAAAATGCCAGAATTCTGAATACTCTGCATTTACTTAGTCATACTCATCAGATGCTTTGCTATAAAAATATTACATTTAACTTTCACCAATCAATAAAGTGAATTGCATTCATCAATGATTTGATATGTGTTGCTAAATATAAAATACTTAGCACTTAGGTACACATTTCTATGTAAAAGCTTTTCATTATACTGTCTAACTTCTGCGATAATTATAAATCTTGCTTGTTGCTCATCCTTCATTCCTCCTCCCTCCCTTCCCAACTCTCCTTTTTTTGTAATTCATTTCAAGTAGCTAAAACTGGGTGCAGAGCAACTAAACAGTTATCTAGGATCAATTCCAAAGAAACAGTTGAGGAAAACACAAGTATGCTTTATGAGATTCCACTGGGAGGAAAGTTTATTTTTACCTGATTTGTTAGACACCCATATAATTGCCTCTGATGAGATGTGGCTCGTATTTCCTACTGCAATTGTTAATGGAATCTGCCACAAGTAGCTGCAAGACAAAGGAGGGGGAATCTAAGAACAAAAATACTGAACTGATTCTTCTCACAGCAATCAGGGATCATGTCAAAGAAATCAAAACACAATTTCAGTAGCAGTGTAAAGATGTGGATTCTAACAAGTTACTTTGATTTTGAAATGCATTTGCTATTAGCAATAAAACAATGAAAAAGTCATTCATCTTAAAAAACCCTAAATTATATTTTACATTTTTCACACACTGTCATCACATGAGGACTTTTTTGCAAGGCTTTCCTAATTTAACAAAATGATTCACAAAAGAGGAAATAATGATTTCCCATAGAAAGAAGAACACTTTTTTACATTTACTTAGAAAAATAGAACCTCCAGGTAAAACATGCTTTAAGTTATAGGGACTCCGAAGTTGAAAAATAACATACTCTTCTAGAAACTTCTTAAAAAGCTATGATGGACTTTCATAGCTGCTGGTTTATAAAAACAAAACAAACGGGATGGATCTCCACTTCTTTGCACCATTTATTATCACTTACGTGTATGCAAACTGGACAAAACATGCTACATGTGGATTTGGAGATATGCTGGTGTAATCAGACCCCAACTTCCTTATACGGTATCACAAATTGTTTCTCATTTGGAATAAATGTTATCATTTACCTAAGACATTTATGTAACATCTTTATCTCAATAAACAGAAATTGACTGTATGAAGTCAGTTTTTTGGGGGAGAGATGGAAAGGATGAATTCCTGCTTATCTTGATCATCACCTCCATTCCTGAACTCTCAAAAGTATCATTTCACCAGCCAGTGAAAGAATAGACGTTTCCCTCACAGGCCTGCCATGTCATTTTGTACACCAGTCAAGGAGAAGCACTCAGTAATGGTACAGGTGGTACCTTTGTCCAGGGAGTATATGTGCATTTAAGCAAGGCAGCATGGCAAGAAAGTGGCCCCAACTCAGAATCACCATATGCTACCACTTTGATACCAAATAAGTATATCATTTTAGATTGACTGCATTAAAATGGTGCAAGGATGACCATGGGCAAATTCTTGATGTCTACATCAGCTCCTCTCCTGCTAATACACAGCATTGCGAAACTAGCCTATGGTACTAAAAAAAAATTAGGTTTGCGGCTTTCCGCTTACCCAGAAGCCTGCTCCACTGAACTACAAACACTACCCAAATGTGCCACAACCGCAGTCGACACGCGCTGGCTTGCAAGGGTTGCCTTGCGAGGCCTGCCTTGCTGGCCTCACTTGGGGGCTGGCGGAAGGAGAGACCCCTGCCCTGCCGGCCCTGCTACCACGCTTGGCTCCCAGCTCCCCACCCATTTGCGAAGAGCCCCCCACACGCACGGGGCTTTGCAGTGCTCAGAACAGAACCGCATGTGCCGGGAAACACTTGTCCATACCGCAGTGATTCAGCAGAGAGGGGGAGATATTTGGAAAACTCTACAGCTGAAAGAGCTATGAGTGACACTAGAAAGAAAACACGGCATTTATTGCCATATGGGAGAAGAAAAAAGGGTCCCATGTGATTTTGGGTGCTCTGAATGTTGATATCATGACACACTGGAAAAATTATTAGATCTACTCATGCACCGAAGACACGCTCAACATGAGCACATGCTCTGGCAGACACTTTTTGGATAATTACGCTGTGGCATTTGAAGATGCTACTGCCTTTATTAGTCTGCCCACTCCTTCTGCCGGACGTTACCACGCAGCAGAAAAGGATGTCCACTGGCGCATTAGCTCCTCCAGTTCTCAGTTTTCACACAAAGTTACCTTCACTGTTGGCTTAACTAATATTCTGGACTGTGAACTGGAGTAATGAGGTGAAAACATGTATTATGTCCTGCTGCTTCTGCTACAGTGGCACTAACTTCTGGGTTCGACAGATGAGGGCAGTCAGGAGGTGCTGCGAAGTGATGCACCAGAGAATATTCACTACTCTCTTAATATCTTATACCTTGCTAGACTCCCACCAGTGTTTTAGAGTCTGTCCAAAAAACCTTCTAGGAAAAATATCATCTCTAAAAACACACCCAGTTCTAAATACTTGTCTCTTCAGAGACCAAACTGTGATTGAGAAAAACAAGGCAAAACTAAGCGTAAAGCTTAATTATTTAAGCTTTATTTGAAAGAACAGGAACTTTGGTATATGAAAAAAAAATTAAAGAGCTGCATTTGCATGGTATTTTTATGACTCCTGAGATCAGCTTCTACTGAGAAAGTTAAACTGCAAAATAAAAGATACCAAGAGCTGCCTACGTAGCTTACTTAAACACATACACAAACATACACAAATATAACTGTATGAACATATACATGGACACCTCTTATTTTGAGAAGGAACTTCACAAAAAGATATTCTGTACATTGCAATATCTATACAAGGAAGATTTTTATATTACTTTATATTATTATTTTATGTTATCTCCAATTAAGGTAAATCCTATTGAAATAAGGACAGATCCTTCTCTGAAAGGTGATCTAGCTGTGGAACAGGAGTCATGTAAGCTACCCAACCTCAGAAAACACATGTGGATTTGGTTAGGAAGGTTAGTATGGTAGATTTAACTTTCATCTCTGCAAGATGAGAAACCTACTGATGCTCTCAGCACCCTCCAGAACTGCCAGATCTCCTCTCGGTTATTTGTTTACCAGGTGAACCACAGATTTGCTTTTAACAGACCTCTCTAGAAAGCCATTTTTCCTGTGTGTACTGCTGCTGTTCTCTGGATGTTTATCTGCTTTCCCCTTCCAGTCCTCTTCATTCTCAGTGAAACTTCTGCCACTGTTGCAAAAGAAGCCATGGCTAACTTTTTTACCTGTATGTGAGGGAGATGTATCTGGCTCACCTTTCAAGAATTTTCGTTAGGATGACTTCTACACACCATCCCTGAGTGATCCGTATGGACTGTGTTCTCCGGGTGCGACTAGTAAGAAGCGAACTTTTTTGTACTGTTCTATCTCACTCTTCTACTTTACAGAGAAAAGAGGAACAGGGCCCACTTTCCTTCTGCTTTGTCTGGGAGTAGTGCATATCTTTTATTTATTCTTTATACGTTGGGAGCACGTATGGTCTCTGTATGCATTTGACCAGGGAAAGGAGCATCCTGTTCCACCTGGCCATCTGCTGCCTGCTGTGACAAACCAGTTCCAGTGGAAATAAGAACCCAGCGTTGAGGGCCCAGTGAATAGGGCAGCAGGACTAGAAACAACCCATTTGGTCCCCCTGCCCTCAAGAATATGTCTGCTCAGGTAGCACACTCAGTCCCTGGGTGAAATGGAGCTAATGAACTGTGTGTCCAATCTGCCTGAGATGCTGTTGAGCTTCAGAGGGATCATTATGTCCCTCTGGATGCAAACCTGATCACCTTAACAGGGAGCTAAAGGCAGACCACTCAATTGTGGGGAAACTGAGAGCTATTTCAGGAATTTAAGAAATCAACTCTGAGGATGAGAGACATATAAAATTAGAACAGACATGGTAAATATGAACTGTGCTGTACATAACATTATTCAGTCATAAATGTCTTAAAGAGATGTAGGAAAGCTGGATCTTGTTGAAAGGCAGTATAAATAAGCCTTTTACTGTTGATTTACAAGTGAGAAACTGTTAATGTGAAATAGTTAAATTTAGGTTGACGTGCACAATTAAAGGGAATGCTTTGGTGCCTTTTTTTTTTTTTGTAGCACCACATCAATGCATAATACCAAAGTGTGTTAGCATCTCCATTCAGCTTAAAGAATAATCAGAGGGACTTGTTTGATAAAGTAATACAATTTTGCGTCTGCCAAGGTACAGACATGGTAAATATGAACTGTGCTGTACATAACATTATTCAGTCATAAATGTCTTAAAGAGATGTAGGAAAGCTGGATCTTGTTGAAAGGCAGTATAAATAAGCCTTTTACTGTTGATTTACAAGTGAGAAACTGTTAATGTGAAATAGTTAAATTTAGGTTACGTGGCCAATTAAAGGGAATGCTTTGGTGCCTTTTTTTTTTTTTGTAGCACCACATCAATGCATAATACCAAAGTGTGTTAGCATCTCCATTCAGCTTAAAGAATAATCAGAGGGACTTGTTTGATAAAGTAATACAATTTTGCGTCTGCCAAGGTACATGTAATACTAGAAGCTAGCTAATTATGCTCTGTTTGGATTATATAGATCTTTTTTGTCTTGAGCATTACATAATGACTACATAGCCAGTATTAGTGTACTTTACCTCACTCAGAAAATGATCATATTTGTGATGAGTACTTGCCTTGACTTCTAACAAATAAGAACTGAGATCCCTTCATGGGCAAATTCTGAGACCATAAAGTATTAAGCAAACATGATACCTTACATTTCTGTCTCTGATGAACAGTAATGTTGTAGCAACATTGGATTTTCAGTGGAACAATTAGTTGGCTTCTTTGTAAAGAGCTATGCAAAGCCAAAAAAGGGTAGTAGATTATTTCCTACAAAGATCTCAGGTCATTAAAAAAGAAAACGTGAGTTTCCTGGAGTTTCAGATTTTGCACACCTTTTCAACTACTTTTTCACATTAACGAATGATTTTGCTGAGATGTAAACCCATACGTTTTCAAGATTCATCCTCCCAGTAACTATAATGTGCCAAGCTTCCACCCACAGCCTCTAGTGAATACCACGTTCTTCCAGTGACATTTCTCCTTTCTCCCTGGATTCAAATCTAAACAAGGAAGTTCAGCTATTCCTAGTCATTACTCACAGAACAATGAAGATATCTGCTCAATATTCAGAATATCTTTGGCTGCATTATAAAGAATATACAAGTAATGTGATTGCTTCATGTAAAGTGACAGAACATCTGTACCTAAAATACCACAGCAGAACTTAGCTAACCTGCTTTTTGAATGGAAGAGGACGTGAACAACCACATCCCTCTCTATATCCTTCTGCTTTTACAGACCTCTGGGTTAAAGACTCCTGCTATTCTTTATACAGAAACTATTACTTAACCCTTCTTAT